GCATACTTAATTGTCAGTGGAAAGGAAGATTTTAAGGAGGAGGAAATTATAACATTATGAATCTGAAGCCCTAAGTCCTAAAAACGTACAACTGTGGGGAAATCTTTGAATGGATAAACAATGACTCTTCCCCCAAAAACGCACATTAGTACATGGAACAGCATTCCTTGGCTCAAATTAACAAGTTTCATTGACCACAGAAATCTTCCACGTCCATGGACTACTTTCATGGGTTCTATTATACGTGGCACACATTTACTAAAGGTAAGTTTGTGCTTCCGTAGGAAAAAAAAAAAATTAGAGAAATACAAACTGGAAAAGAATGAATATCACTTGTTTAAGTTATAAATTATCTTGACAATCTTATAGCAAAGTTGTACATACGGAAGAACCAGAAATCTCATGAATAGAGAGAGAGAATAGAGGAGACATGAAGGAAGGCAAGGTCTTCAACAACATAAAGTCTGGAGGATCAGGCTCATTGAGTCTATAGGAATCGTGTTGGACTCGGATGGTTAAATCATTTTAAAGGGAGGACACTACACTGACTTTAAGGACAGTGCTGAAATGCAATTGTGAGAACACGAACGTATGTTAATCCTTCTTGTGATGCTTGAAGTACATTACAAGCTCTTTGCAAAAGGTGGTAGCTCCATACGTAGAACAGTTTTAGTATACATAAGCCTTTCACTATATTATCTCAGGAATCTGTTAACCTGCCATGAGCTAGACAATATGATTATACAAATGTCACTGCCACGCCAGGAAGGAAGTGGTTTAGCACTTGATGAACTCTGAGCTGCCACTGCCAGGCTGGTATTCTAGCTGGCTTATGTATCTCTACACTGCTGTCAGTACAATATAGATATTCTCTAGCTGACTTTATCTGGGCTGCAAACACAATCATTCTCCTCCTGGCTTAAGTTTGCTAGATAGAAAGATGAGAAGAACTGTGTTTTTTACTAACCATTCTTATTCAGTAGTTCTTTTTTACCTTTTATATTTACACATTAGTTTACATCCAGAAGAGTAAGAATTAAATTCAACTTTCCACTTAAAAGTGCCACTTTTCCAATCATCTGAAACACAAGTTACTTCACTAACTACAGTTGAACTTAGTTGAATACCATTTGATGAGACAGAATTTTGTCTGACGCTGACTCAAATGCCTTATGTTAAGTTCAAAGTCAAAAATCTATGAGGATTTAGGTGACTCATATCTCCACAGCATTTAGACCTCACCATCTCTAAAACATCCCTTACAGATTCTCGTTTTTTTAAAATTTCTGTTCAAAATGCCAATATACAGTAGATTTTCTGTGTGCATCTATCTTCCTATACAAAGTCATTTGCTATCTGCTCTGAACAGCATAGAAACCTACGATTTTCTCACTGATTTTACCTGCGGGGTAGGGGGAAGAGAAGAGAGACATTTCTCAGAAAATTTACTCTCGCAGCAACTGTAACAACTTTTCTAACAAAGAAAATGGGCAGAGCTTTTCAATACTACTACTAATCCTACCTAAGAATGCATAGCTCTGCAAAATCAGAGCTTTTGAACTTATTATTAGTGGTTTATTATCAAAGCACTCCTCTAAGAGCAAGGACAATAAACTAATTAAAGAAATTTCAAGGAATCAAAATGAATGAAAATAAAAATTAGACACTCAGCCAGTTACTAACTAGCTTAGAAATAACAGTACTCTTGCAAGACATATATCTGCTCTTTCTGTACCTTATCTCTAGTGTAAGAGATAAGCTATTGGTTTTGTACTAGGTCCTGAAACAAGCCGGCTACCACTACAGCTAACATCATCTCCTGATCCCTTTCCACAGCCACAGCCCTTTCCAGTACACACTGAAAAAAGACGACTGACAAGCGGCTGGCAATACTCAGTGTGAAGAGAGGAGAGGGGCAATAGCCCATTACCTCCATTTTAAATTTCCATTCAAAAGCTACTCCCATCCCCTGGCAATGCAGTATCATCTTATGTAAGCTCTTAGCAGCATTATCTGACCAACAGGAATTGCTAGAGGCACTTCTGTTTCAGCAGCGACTGGAAGACACTGTTAACCAGCACAGAGCAGAACACGTCCCAGGCTGCTTCGTCTTAGTCAAGCGTTCCCAATTCAGATGTTGGAAAGAGCAGAATAACCGAAGACAATGTTTCTTGAGCCGTGGTCTGACATGGGGTTCCTTCGCTGACACTATTGTCATGACGTCTCCCAAGACATGGCCAGTTCTCCACAAACAGTGACCCCCCCTGGAACAGATTTGGCAGGATGTGGCCTGAAGCCATATCTCAGGTCCCAGGCCCCCCCGGCCTGCTCAACAATAGTCGAAACATAGTGGACAAGACTGTATTTTTCTGGAGTCAGGGAAACTTGGAAGCAGACCGCTGAGTACAGCATGATCTTGCCCCATGGACAGGAAAAGCTCACAAAGTCAAATATTTTAAGTTATCTCTACAAAACAAACAACAAAGGTTTTAATACATATAATCTGAACCACTTCTACTAAACTAGGATTTGTAGATGATCTTGCTGACCTGAGTAATTTTTAACTCACTGACATATAGCTACAGCAGGGCACTGCAAAAAGGGGTTTATGGCAGCCAGAGCCAGAACAAGGCTTCAGCAGTAACATTTTCCTTCAGCTTCAGCGGGTCAGGGACGACCACCATATCTGGGAGGAGGGCGAGAATACTGAGGAGCCGTGCTGCTGGCTGACACCCGGGGCACAGCGTAATAACACCACCTTCCCACGGACAAATCCTGCCAACAGGCATTTATTTCTCTTCGGAACTGAAGCAGTCGTAGTGGTCAGTGAGGAAATCCATCGGCCAGACAGCCGAGAAACTGCCCTCCAAATCCTTCTCTGTGACATTCAGGCTAAAGCATGAACAGTTTCACTGCAAGAAGACCACTTCATGGCAGAGGTGGTAACATACAAAAGGATAAAATATTAAATACACAAACACAAGTAAACTTTTATAGTGTCTTGCATGTGAAGAGTCTGATTTGCTAATCTTGCCAAAACAACTGTAAGTGACCGGCAATTCCCAGTTTGGAGCATCCAAGTGGAGATAGGATTTTTCAAACAAAAGGAGAGCAGCACTGCCCAGAAAAAAAAAATCCAATGGCTCAAAATAGACAAAAATCAAAGCACTCAAACTCTTAGTCACTTGTGACTGTTTGTTGTGGTACTGTTCATTGGGTTGGTTTGGGGGTTGTTTTTTTTAATAATTCAAACACTCTTTCCATGTTAAGCAGCAGAACAACAAGTTTCACTGGAATGCAAAGTTTATAGTTACAGATTTCCCACAGGTCACCAGGCTTGACACAGTGTCAGAAAAATCACTCAAAACTGTCAGGTAGTATGGTGCACATTTTCTCATTTATGCTAACAGAAAGAAATATTAGCAATATTGCAACTACCTGTCAGAGGAAATGAGTCAGAAAAATATACTACAGGAAAAATTAAGAAACTATTCATTAGATAACTAGATTATTAGAGCTTCTTCATCTACTCAAGACGACAATTAAATCAAGCACCAAAATTCATTAGCAAAATGAATTTACATGACTTCACATTCTCTCTTCTCCCCTCCTACCTAGATATCATATCCATAAGATGGCAGACAGAGGCTCTGAAAAATCTGGTATATATTTTAAAGTGATTACTCAAAAACCAGAGATTAAAAAGGTCTTTATTAAGCATACATAAAACCTTATAAAAAGAAAAAAAAAGAAAAAACAACCAAGTGTTTTCCAGTAAGCATGTATGTTTGTGTCATGGCTGTAATGAAACATGCATTAAGTATGAAACATATGGTTTCCATTTTGTTCCCCTGGAATCCATCCAAAGACATTTTATGTTGTTAGCTTAACTGTTCTCCTCAGCTGAGAAGCTGTGGAAAATATCTCATCTGAAAAAAATCTGTACCTAATGGATAACTATAAAAGATTTGCTAGATCTGTGGCAGACTACTTCATTAAAAAAAGTCTCTGAGATTATTTAATTACTGGGTGGTTGGGGTTTTTTTAATTAGAATATAATTTTCAAACTAAAAAAAAATTACTTTAAGAGGTACCACAAATTATATGAACAGATTATGTTGATAATATTTTCTTTATTTAATAAATTTGCAGTGGTGTTTATGGCACTCTTTTGGAACCAGGCCATCTGACCTAACAAGAACACATGACAAAAATCATTACTAACGTATCATCTCCCTGATTTCATAGATTTGAGAAACTTATCTTATGCCGAAAGAGCACTGCTCTGAAGATCACTTTTGACTAATAACCTGGTTCAGAGGCAAGGATCAGTAAAAATGAGATAAAAAGAAGAAAGATCACATTTCTTTATTTTTAATAATGCTTGGGTTTGCCCTGATGCAGAAATAGGGCAGAGAATTTCAAGACATCTATCAGGAATGCCCAGATTTAAATTTTACTGATGTTAACAGAAAATATACTGGAAAGGCTGAAGACAAAGTCACAAGGTTAAATTCTGCCATGCTGTGCTTAAAAATTCATCCCCAAATTGCAAGGCTAACCCCAGTAACAACAAGCAGGCAACGTATAAAACCTTTCATACCTTTGTGCTATAAACTATTTCAGCTATTGACTTGTTCCAGGAACTAACATGTTGTATTTAAACTGTTAAACCTGCTGTAAGTTCTTGCAATTTATTGCTAATCTTTCTTCTGATGAAGCCAATAGAAAAATAGTATCATGAATAAACTGATAAATCCAACCAGATGAGTTTGGAGACTTTACCATACTATGTTTCTTTATTTCATTAGTTGAGATGATTTGGGATATAGTAGTCGAAAGCCCCTGTTTTGTTACCTTAATATATCATGTGGCTTGAGGACTGCGCTCTTTGTAAAGGGCCTGCAACTTGAAAATTCACATTGCTGATGCTCTGCTAACATACAAGCTTGTTCATCTTCACAACCCATTGCAAGAATTAGATGGTTATTTTAACTCACCTTTGCCATCTGTGCTTGGACTCCACTAGCCTTTAAAGCAGAAACCGCCTTCTGAGCAGCTGCTGGGCTGTCAAAGTCAACAAAACCGTAACCTGAAACATAAAGCATATTTCATTAACAAGACAGCAACCAGCTTATAATCAAACAGTTCATATGCTACTAGCAGTTACTTAATATAATTTTCTTGTTGGTGAAGAGAGCCAATTTGAACTCCAAAGTTCTTCACGTAGTCCCAAAAAAAACAATCTACCAAAGTCTTTCAAGCTTGAACTGGTGGGGACCTACCCTAGCGGAACAAATCAGTTCCCATGCCCACTCATTATGAGGATTTTGTCCAAATTGCCAACAAGTAGTATGGTGGTCTGCTTTGTGTTATCTGGTATGTATCTTCTAAGAGCAAATGTGACATCATTAGTTTATTTCATAGAGATCACCGAGTAAAGCATAATGTGTTAATTTTTCTAAACTAAATTCTTAGTCCAGTTTGAATAAGTGACCAATAAGCTTCTAAGTTACACGTCATTTACTCAAAACTGTGAGAGGAGTTTAGTTTAAAAGACGCATATCTACTGCATCATAACCTAATTTTTGGTGAATTAGTTACTTCATTGTATATACATAAAAACAGTTAAAATTAAAAAGTGACTGAAAACTCAGCTTCAGTGAAATCAAGTGTTTTTTTCCCATTGTTGTTACCAAAACCAGAATGTAAAAAAATTGTCCTGAAAGCATTTTTTATGCCATATAATGCAATCTTTAAATGTTAAAGTAAACCCAAAGTTAATTGCAACAATTTCCATATATTTGCAGTTACAACTTTTCTTATTCTGAACAACAATGCACAGCTAATGGATTCCAGGACATCTGAACAGCAATATACCTTAGACTTTACAGACACTGACCTTACAGGCTGGGATTTTTAATGCAACCTGGGAGTTGGATGCTTAAGTCTCACCAAGAGGCAGTCAGAGTTTGGAAGCTACTTCCCCTAGATGTTATTGCAAATCTCATTCCGCATTTTTCAACCCCCTTCCTTCCCACCAGTGAACAGTCTCAAATATTAAAGAAATCCCTCTCCAAAGTCTAAGTTGGGTTAAAAGAAAACAAACAAAAACCCCAACAATTAAAAAAAAGTTCCAGAGGAGTAGAAAATGGAATTATTTCTTCAGAAGTAATAGCATTCTCTTACAGTATGTCTATACTGAGGACAAAAAGGTTGTGTAAAGGTATAACTGAACCAGCTTTAAAGTCCTTCACTTGGGAAAAACAACTCGAGCAGCCGAGTACATCAGTGCAAGCTTATTTAACCTGCCAAGAAGCTGAAGAAAGCAGCATATTGTTCTGCGTAACATGTGGTGTTGTGGACTGTTAAATCTTGACATGAAACAGACTGAATTAGTTCATATCAAGTTTTGTGCTGCCAAGGCAAAACTAGCTTTCCATACCCATGACAGCCCAGGTTAGCAACACCACCACACTGCAGGGTGTAATATAGACAAAGTTACATATTGATACCAAGCATGCCATCAAAGCCGGCTTTGCCATCTTCTAGACGATACACAAACTCAATTACTTGTTGCTCCAGTTAGTTTAAATCCCATGGTGTGGGGTTTTTTTTTTTTTGGCAAGAGCCAGAGATGCTGTCAATCTTTTGGTTAAATTCCAGTTAGATATCTGCATTCTGCCTACTTACGTTCCTACTGCAATTTCAATGACATGCAGTGAGCTTCCCTGCAGCCTTCCCTACAACTTGCTGTATATTGTTACAACAGACTTAGTTATTGCTTTTCACCAGCGAGGTTTAAAATCTATATTGGAAAAGTCAGCTTAAATCTCTTAAAACATTAATGTGAGAATTTCTGTATCACTGACAGAGCTACCGAAGTCTTCAGGAACTGGGGGAATGGACAGAATAAATCAGTTAGGTGCTGTCACAGGTATTAATGAGCTAAAATAATTGAAAATGGCACCTGCTCCTTCCTAGTCACAATATACACAGATGACATTTGCACACAAGCTGGGAAAAAAATTTCCAGAAATTTCTGTTTCTGAACTGTCAGCACCCCTTTAATTGTTTAAGATGGGGAGCTAAGAAGCTATGCCCCTGCACTGCTTCCAAGTTCTGCACAAAAACTGCGTCTCAATTAATAATGACTCTTCTCTCCTGCCTCTGCCTAACAGCTTTACGCTCACTCATGAGCTTTACGCTTATTAACATTGCCAAATCAGCTGACTTAATTCTTCACTTTGCTTAGAAATTATCCTCTTAATTGTAAAAAAAAGAAAGTCTGAAATCCGATACTTCAGTGTCTGCTATCACACCTTCTCCCACCATGCACGTTGCTCGGATATGATCTCACTGTAATTGCAGTGAGTGATGAAAATCAGTGAACTGATATATCCAGCTTATCTAAAGGACTTCTAATATTTTTTTCCAGCTGCAATTACTTTGGTGAAAATGAACCCTCTCTTTGCTCTCAATACATTCAATTGCATATAACAAAACACAATTAGAGGATTGGAACATGTAATTAAGTGCTGCTTTAAACTACTCTAATCAATGGGAGCTGATTTCCACCAATATATTATTTTTTCAGATGCTTAGTACAGTTGAATGATCTTCTGTAAGCTTCCCTAGTTTCTCCAGGCAAAAGGGGAAAACCTGCTTTTAACTCCATTTTTGTTTTTAAAATAGAGGCGAACTGCCAGCCAGCACTGTGCATGTCAGCTTCACCCAGGCTTGGCTGCACCACTGACACAGGCTGTCTGCCAGCTCCACTGGAAACAAATGTATTGAATACACTGACCGTGGGCAAGAATAAGACTAGTTTAGGAATAAGAAGGCGGAGAGGGGCGCGGAATTGAAAGCACTTAAAATTCAACATTAGTGTATTTTATAGACTCAATTAGGACTTTCACGTGAACGTAATATAAAGGCAAACATACATACCTTTGCATTTGTTTGTTGTCTTATCCAAAATAGCCTTCGTGGATACAATTTTCCCATACCTAAAATGTATTACACATATGTAAGGAAAATGAGAAAACAACATCCTATTACAACAGATACCCAATTCACATTATTTTATATCCTATTACCCTTCACTTTATAATGAAAACTCATACATAGACAGAAGTGACCAAAAAGATCAACAATTTCAAGCATGATCTCGTTCTATTCTCCTTACGTTCTCAGTGGCACAGCAGAACCACAAAACAAGCCAGAGAAAAAGTGCTTTACAGAAAAGAATACAACACAGTTAAAATCCTGGTACATGTAAGAAACCACGTTTTAGACATAAGCTTGGACTCTCTCAATATATAGACCAGATAAAGCTGACAAACTGCCTTGTCAGTGCGAGGCTTGCTAACTAACGGGGGGGAGGGGAAGGTAAAAAACTTATGTATCTCCCCGCCCCCAAAAGATTAAAAACTTTGTTCTGGAATGTGACAAGTGCAAGTCAGATTTATGAAAGCTGATCAGCAAAGGTGGTAAAGAATTTTCTGTATTTTTAAAATGGAAAATTGAAATGTAAACAATTTCAATTAAAACCAAAACATCCCTCAGGAAAGTTTCAATTTTCTTTTTTTAACACACACTCATTGCCTGTTCCTCAGCTTCTCAATAACTGGGCAGTCCAGGTGCCAATCTGCTACACAGTCCAAAGGTGAACACCCAGATATCTAAGAGCAATTAAGCTTGGGAAACAGGCAGACAGCAATCCCAGCTATAGGAACGATCACTGTTTCTGAAGTGCTCTGCGAAGTTTATCTCAGGTTTTTCGATCAAATTTAGAGTAGAAGTCGTCACTGCTGCTGAAAACTTGCAATTTTCCTTGGAAGTTAAATCCCAGTTTCAATTTAAAAAAAAGCAACTCCCTTGGCCTGCATCAGCAGTGGAATCGGAAATGGAGCACAGGTTTACAAAGTTCCTTACCACAACCTCCTCTGTTTGCTTGCGAACTACATTTGATACAGTGCTGTGAGTATACAAGAGAGAAACGATGCAACATGAGTTTGTTTTCACATGAGAATATAATGTAACTTATTACATTAACAGGTATACCTAAGCACTGTGTGCTAAGAGGTTCTTTATCATTGTACAAGAACCCAAAATGAACTGAAAATTATAAGAAATGTAATCAGCATAAGAAAGTGGAATTTAGGGAAGAATTCAGTTTTGCCAGTTCACCTGCTAAATATAACGTGAACAGAGTGAGTATCATTTCAAAAAGGTATTATTTCAAAAGACAACTAACTCAAGTTCTGCAGTGGCTGTATTAGTCTTAAAAGTTCTTCAAAATATATAAGAAGTCTAATAAACAAACTTAAGCTTAGTTAGTTAAGAGTACTCAAATAACTGTTCACTTGCAAAGTGATAGTTATTCAAGGATGAAGCCTATTTACAAAGTACCTTCCCCCTAAAGAACATTTAAATACATGTTTCAGTGTAGTTATGACTCTTTGTGACCAGTTTCAAGCACCTTCTGTTTATTCAATGAGTTATTGTGTGGCATCAAATAGTTGCAAGGGGGTAAACCTGGGAGACTAGCCACTAGGTGTTGTCTTCCTTATCGTACCTGAAATTGTGAGCATCTACACTGATATAAAATAGAACTATCCATCTATAGCCTAAAAATGTACAAGTCTCAATGAAAATCAGTGCATAGCTAAATATGTTATGCTAGAAGCTGTAATAAAGCAATAGAAATTGTGCCTAATAGTTGGAGCAGGTACTTCCTTATTAGTGTCACTTATTTTCCAAATATGTCATTCCATTTAGAAAGCTCTACACCTCAGAGTCAAAACTTCTGAAACTTTCTCCAGAATTTTTCAGAGCGCAGAGTAAACGTACGTGTTATAAATGAGAGGGGCAAACTGTTTGGGGACAGTGCTCTTCAAGATCCGCTAAACTCGTGTCCCAAGTCGCGTGCACCCAGCATTGTATTTGATAGCCAGCACCCTCCATAGTCTATCAGCTTCCCTAAGCTTCTTAAAGTGAAGAGCTACATAACCTTTTGTGGGGAAAAAAATCCCTGAAGGATGACCTTGTCCCTGCTGCTGTTTCAGTTCTTGAAAGTGTAGGATGTGGTGGTGGTGAAAAACTAGAGCACTGGGTATCTACGTAAACAAAGTAACTGCAACCCTCAGCCAGTTTGGTCACGGAGGGGAGTCAGGGGCTGGCTATGGACTGCGCTGGCCCACAGATGCTGACGCACACCAGCCCATAAACATGTGTCTGCATGTCTGTTCTTTACAGCTACTTCATGGACCATTTTCCAATGTGCAAGACCGCTAGTGATTTAATTCACTGTCCTAGATAGCACGGCTCCTGCAAAGAACCAGCTGCCATGGAAGACTGCCAAGAAGTTTCAGCAGCGTGAGTCTAGGAACGATTCTGAGAACCAGTATAACAATAGCAGCTATCACCAGGATTTCTCCTACGATTTTCCCTGTGAATACTCCTCCCAAGTGCTAGCTCTCCGCTCACGCCATGAAGCACAGAAACACAGTTTACCCCACCTCAGCCTGGGCAGAGGGATACATCCCCTTCCTTACTCTCACCATGTGGTCTGATATCAGGGGAAATTACTCCTTGCAGTTCCTCATAAGTGCTTCCTTCAAATGATGACCATCATGAAAACCTACTTCCTTCTTCCTCAGTTCTGCAGTCCTAATACTGCTGTTAACACAGGCTCCTGTGTTCAACTGCTCATTTGTTAGGTGCAACTGCAATCAAGACCCACCAGAAATCAATGAGCTATAAAACACAAAGTCATGGTGCAAACTAATATGTATTGCCTGCTTACAAAAAGGAAGATAGCAAGCAAGAGAAAACTTATATTCCAAAGATGTCTATGATGTTAGGTCTTGCCTGAAGATCATCATTCCTCTCAAAGCTCACGCATATCTAGTTGTCTTGGGCACCCTGCTGAGGCTACTCTTCTGCTCCAAAGCCTTACCGCATGCTTGGTGAGACTTGCTACCTAAGGCAGAGCACACCTCTCATGGTTGGCAGAATCACTTCTACAACGATTGGCGATTGCTCATTCCCTCTCCTCCGAAGCAATTTTTTAAAATACGCTTTAAGTTAAGTGCTAATTTTGAGAAATAACTGCTAATCTGGCTGGTGACAGGCAACTAGGTATTCCTTATTAAGTAGGTTATTTTTCTCCCCCAAAAAAATCAAATGAATGTTCAGCAGCAATAGAGAGTTTTGTGGGATTTGTTTTTTTGTTGTTGTTGTGGTTTTGTTTTTGGGGTTTTTTTTTGAGTGCTATTAACACATTCTCTCTTTAGTCTGAATTATCTTTGGAGATGGAAAGATGTTTTCAGCTTTGCATCTCTTTTCTATACAGCACTTGTACCAATGTCAACTAACGTATTAAGGAAGAGAGGGCTTGGGTAAGAGGCAGGTAAATAATTGCCAGGGTGCATTAGTTATGGGATTAAAAGGGGTATGTTCAGTAACAGTCTGTGTACCAGTATACAAGCTATCGCTATAGTACAGAACATCAATACAAATGTATATTTGGATATGAGATAAAGAAGAAACTTGTTCAGAAGCCAAGTTAGGAAGATAAGCAGTACTGCTACTTAATAGGATAATGCTTACTGCTGCCCATTACACACTCTCTGTGCAGAAATGAAAGGGTAACCCCACCTACTCGACTGCCCTAAGAAGATCTACTGCCCAACACCGTCAATGTCAAAACATAGCACTACACGTTTGTCTTAGATACTTTTGAAGTGGAAGGCTTGAAGCAAAGCATTAACATATACTTTTTAAAAATCACATTGTTCAGCAACACGGTCAAACCCAGCACAAATAATCACACTGAGAGATTTATTACAAATAGCTAGGAATACTTTTGACATTTAAAACATCTCTGAAGCTTAATTTTGGTGACCTCCGTGATGATGAAAGAAAAGGGTCCTTAGAAAACTAAGTACACGGATCAAACCAGTGTTTATTTTTCTCCCTTTGTACATCTGCTAGTGTAACGAACATACTTGCAAACATGAGGGCGATAAGATGCCATCATGAGCATGACAAAGAACGGGGAATGAAGTAGCTTGACGTCTTTGCCACAAGTGCTATTTTGAGTGTTGAAAGAACTTATCTGTGTGTACATTAGGGGAGGTACAATAAGAACAGGCAGTGAGAGGCTTGATAGGGGTTGTCTGGAATGAATTGTTCAAATCTTTGCCCACAATAGCTTAACGTAATATACCTCATACCACCAAGCTCACAGTGCTTCCCTTTGCAGTACTTTCAAACTGTCTTCCAGCTTGTGCCATGAAGGGTTTCTCTATCACCTGATGTTGACTCAGACACTTCACACGCCAGAAGGATCTCTGCTACCATGAAAGTCCTTGCCTATTAGAGCTGCTTTGGTCCTCCATCCTGAACTGTCCAGAACTTTGTGTTGAAGATGAGCAGTGCTCTCTCTTTGCCTAAGTCCAGTCCAGCTGTAAAAAGAGCATTCCTAGAGATCCTGCTGTTATCCCTTGCATTACTGTAGTGCTGTCAGAAGTCCTCTGCTATGCAGAAACAATGCTGCATATCTTCTGTGTGTATTCTAGATTAATTTTTACATCTTAGCATCTTATCACTGCCCTTCAATGCTCTTTATTTCTAAGAGCCAGAATCAAGTGGTAAAACCAGGCATGGATTTCATAACACGTAAGTGGCTCTGAGTACACAAACTCACTATCAGGTGGAACTGTGAAAGGAAAGAGAACCTGGCTGAACACAAAAATTTCGGTCGGGAGCCAATATTCTCACCAGGTGACCAAAAGACAAGAGAGAGCACAACAAGCAGGGGGGTCATGTGGGAAAGCAGATCAGTTAATCCTAAAATACATTGCAGTTGCTGAATGGATCCACATCAAAATAAACCTTACTTTAGACTAGGGCAAATAACCAGAACAAAATGGATAAAGCAAATACTTCCAAAGCAATTCCTGTATATTAATTGTAACACTAAACAGAACATACAGGTGGG